TTTTTCTTTTTTTGTTACTCCCCAGCACTGACTATAATTTCTTTAAGAGATGCTTAGCTCTATGCAATAGATAAACCTGTTTTGAAGATCCTATAAGAGATTTTAGTTTGGCCAGATGGTAAATGATGACCTTTTTTTAAGGGCCATCCAAACATGCTGAGTTAAAACATTTGATGGAAAAGATAGGTCTGATCTCAGTGTTTCTTGAGCTTTCCTTCAGCTAAAATCTGTTGCCAAAGCTCAAAAGCATCCTGTCTGTAATTCCCTGTCTTACATGTACTCATCAGACCACATTTATGAAACATGAGCAGAGCAAATTTCGGTGCAAATCATCCGTAAAAACATTCTTACATAAATTCTCTCATTCAATTCAATGCAACAATTTACATAAGAATGGGTTTATGGAACGAATTGCACAAAAATTTGTTCTGCTCTTGTTTCATAAATGAGGCCCAATGTGTGTGTGCTATGTGTACATATTTAAATGATTTAATTAAAAGCTGCCAGTGCTGTAGAACCTGATGCTGTCCGGTTTTTGTCTGTATGGCTGTTGTTTTTTCAAGAATCACGTCAGACGAATAGATGAATCTCACAGAATGACCATCTTTATTAAGCAATTCTGTATTTTGTCATTTGGCTCTGTATTTTGTCATGTTCATCTTTTTGTTGTTGTTGTTGTTCATCATTTCTAACAAGGAGCAACAAAGAGTCATTGGAAAATTTTTGCAAAACACCAAAAACACCTGTACATACAAATCTTTGTCAATTTCCAACTGAAATGACTGCTAATGGCAGTAAAACACAGTCAGAAAACACTACCACTAAATTGATTGCATCACATAACCAGCTCTATGTGTATAACTTTTCTGACTTCGTAAACTTGCTCGGGAGCTCACCTGGTACAGCATTGCACTTGCGATGCAGAGTGCTTGGGTACAAGTCCTGTTAAACTAGTGTCAATAGCCAATGTAATGACACATTGCCAGATTCATGTTCAAGTTCAGATAAAACTTAACGTTTTTATTGCCACTCATTGGACATTTCACTTTGAAAGTAATATGAAACATTCAAGAAGCAAGATAATGTCATGAGTTTACAGAAATGTTGCCATAGACAAGTTCTCGCCACAGACAGTGAGCCTTGATTGCATTTGGTGCCTGGTTTCAGAATGACTGCAGATGGTTAGGGATTAAGACTAAGATTAGTTTTTGCTCCGAAGTACCCAAAAAGTGTCACAAGAGGTATGTTGAATTTGCCCCTCCATGTCTGCAAAGGCACTGGTGGGTCTGCTGATCTCTCAGCCAGTTTTTAATCAACAATGTGCCTGCAAGCACAGTAGCAGCAATTGAACAACACAAAGGTGCCATTCTCCATCCCTACTGATGGATCCGAGATTACTGGGGTGAGATATAACCAGAGAGAGTGAGGGTTTGGGGGCCGCTCTTGGCTTGGCCCTGCATTCCCGGTGATATTAACCTTTCAGGGAAATCAGTATGACACAGAAGCTGACAGAGAGTCTAAATTATCTTTTGATTGCTGGTGTGGTGGGCTGTTTATGTCATCAGTCATCTGGCACAAAGCGGAGCCCTGTTCCCCCTGTCTGCTGCCGTCAGACCTTTTTTAATTACGGTAAGTGACCTTTGCAGTGATGCTGACAGAAGGATGAGAGCGAGGAGCCAGGACTGTCCGTCTGATAAGCTTTTATGAGAAAACTCTTTCTCTTCTGGTGTCCTGTCTCTCTCTCCTGCACTGTTATCTCATATTCATGTCTCACTGGATCTTTCCTCTTTTTCTTTTCAGTCTAATTGAGCACGTCTCCATTACTTTCAAATTTGTACAGGTTGTAGTATCTGATTCAGTGTTGTACGCAGCTGGTTTTCTGAATTTGTTTGGCAAGAAAAAAAAAACTTGTTAGTGTGCCCCAAAAAATTTATTTAATTGAACATGTCCATTTTTTCAATAGAATTGAAGTGGATGGGGACAAGGGCTAGGTCAAGCTTCAAAATGACAAGGAAAGTGGTCAAAACGACTCATGTATTATAATCCAAGTCAAAGAATTAGTGCTATAACTTTATGTGCAACAAACTGAAATGTAAGTGTTTCACTGAAAAATCTTGAGGTTCTCTTGACTACAAGAGTTGATGAGAGTTTTTTTAAGAGGGGTTAGATCTTTTCAATGAATCATTTGATCAAGTCTCAATGATCTGCTGTGCTTAACAGCTCACTATAGGAAGGTATATCTGTAATTAATGACCTAAATTTAGTTCATCACACAGAGCTACTGTTTCACATCACTTCAGAAGACTCTGAATATAGTGCACAAGTCATGCGGACCACAAGATATGCCTTTAAGTTATTATAAAGAAATGTGACCCTGGACCACAAAATATAGTCATAAGGGTCAATTTATCAAAAAATTAAGTTTTAATATATTTACAGCGGGAAATTTACAAAATATCTTAATGGAACATGATCTTTACTTAATATCCTAATGATTTTTGGCATAAAAAAAATCTATAATTTTGACCCATACAATTTTGGCTATTGCTAAAAATATAACCCAGCGACTTAAGACTGGTTCCCTTTCGTGGAACTTCGAACTGCGTCCTCTAGGGGTCGCTATGGGGAACGCCTCGTCATGACCCGTGCGACCTAAATTTAGTTCATCACACAGAGCTACTGTTTCACATCACTTCAGAAGACTCTGAATATAGTGCACAAGTCATGCGGACCACAAGATATGCCTTTAAGTTATTATAAAGAAATGTGACCCTGGACCACAAAATATAGTCATAAGGGTCAATTTTTCAAAAAATTAAGTTTTAATATATTTACAGCGGGAAATTTACAAAATATCTTAATGGAACATGATCTTTACTTAATATCCTAATGATTTTTGGCATAAAAAAAATCTATAATTTTGACCCATACAATTTTGGCTATTGCTAAAAATATAACCCAGCGACTTAAGACTGGTTCCCTTTCGTGGAACTTCGAACTGCGTCCTCTAGGGGTCGCTATGGGGAACGCCTCGTCATGACCCGTGTCTGAAGCCTACATTGAAAAAACACCAACTTGTTTGGCCGGCGACAGCCATGACGTCACTACCGTCGCAACTAGTACAAAATAGGCGCCGGTAGCGCACATCATCACTTTTTTCGTGACCAGGGTCACAAATTGCAACAAGTACCATTTTATCAGTGAATCTTTCATTTCTTTTAAAGTTGTGATGAATCGGAAGTAGTGACAGATATTTTCTTGAGTATTGTAATGTACATCTGATTGTAACATTATCAAAAAAGAAAAAAAATGCAGGGCAGGTACTTGGTTCTATGCATCAGTTGATGGAGGGAGATGAGTATGATTCAAATGATTGAAGAAGTCTATTGTTTCACTTGTAGAACCAGTTATGACATTTTGATTAAACATTACAAGGCCACAACATTTAAAAAAAATAAATAAATAATGAAACATACACATGGATGATTTGCATGCAGTTAGAAAATAAAGGGTGAATTTTTCATTTCAAAGGTATACTGAAACCTGGTGTATATGTACATATATCTATATCCAGAAACACATGCACATATACTACAGTATAGGCTATATATAAAACTAGATGCCAGTTGGCTACAAATGTAATTTGAGCCAAATTCATTGGTCAAAAAGAGGTGGGAACCCTAATTAAAGTTGGTAAGAGCGGTGCAAAGAACAGTTTGTGAGTTGCATGGTGGTGCACATCCTGTAATTGGACAACATGAATGTGTCTGTAACACCTCTGGTGATCAGCCGATGTTTGAGACAGCACTGTGACTCTATAGGGCATGTGCAGGAGCCCAGATCAGACTGTGGTGTTGTGTTTGGTGTGATGTAAGCTGTGTGGAGAGTGTTTAAAAGTGAGAAGTGGGGGTGGCATGAGCTGGCAGGTCCCCACAGACAATAGGCAAGTAATGAAATGTTGCTTATCCATGATTCACAATGCCAGTACCCACTGGAGGCTGGAGGAAGCATTTGCTTCTTGATCTCAGATAAATGCCACTGCTTTTTTCATGTCCCCCCCCCCCATTCACTCTTACAGAGATTGCACTGAATAGGTCATTTGCTCTGTCTTGTTTAAACAGGTTGGCACTTAGATTGGCTGGCGCTTAGGTTTGTTCTTAAGAGCAGCTGTTGGCAAGAGGAAACACATTTACTGTACTGTTTGGTGATTCAGCTGTTTGATAAACATTCCCTGTTTTAGACTGTGTTCATTGCATCTCCATTTGTGGTTTTGGTATGTATTTATATTGAGCAATGTCATTATTTTAAATGAAATAGCGCTTTGCCTTATAGGGTTAGTTCCGCCAAAAAGAAAACGTTTGTCATCATCTACTTACCTTCATGTAATTTCAAACTTGTATTAGTTTTTCCTTACATGAAAAAGCAAAAGGGAATGTTTTGGAGATGCTCTGCTCCATACAATTAAAATTAATATGGTACATATGCTGTGAAACTCCAAAAATGACAACAAAGCTCCATAAAATGATCATAAAAGGAATTTGGACAAATTGTATGCTATATTTAAAGTCTTCTAAAGTCAGGATTAAAATGTAAGTCGTTTTCTGCTGAAAATGTCTTCTTTTATGTTCCAAGGGTGAGTAAATGACAGATATTTCAGTTTTGGGTGAACTATTATTAATTAAAGATAAATAACAAACTGACAAAATCTCTGTGATGTGCAAATGTGTCCAACAACATAAAGTAAGGTTTTATTATGCAATGTAAGTGTATGTATGTTAAAGCTCCATAAAATGATCATAAAAGGAATTTGGACAAATTGTATGCTATATTTAAAGTCTTCTAAAGTCAGGATTAAAATGTAAGTCGTTTTCTGCTGAAAATGTCTTCTTTTATGTTCCAAGGGTGAGTAAATGACAGATATTTCAGTTTTGGGTGAAGTATTATTAATTAAAGATAAATAACAAACTGACAAAATCTCTGTGATGTGCAAATGTGTCCAACAACATAAAGTAAGGTTTTATTATGCAATGTAAGTGTATGTATGTGTATGCGGGCTCCAGGGTCCAAGACAAATTTCCCCATTGGGGACAATAAAGTGTATTGAATTGAATTGAATTGTAATATTGTTAAAAAGGTTCCTGATCTCTGATTAAACAGAACTAGCAGAGTTAGATTTTAACTTTTATTACAGTGAACTCAGATGTAATGTTGGAAGGCTTTTTCCATAGCATGTATGTATATTTGTAGCAATATATAATAATTTTAATAAAAAATAATGTTGTATAGAAAACATGAGAAGGACCAAACACCTCACTAACCAAATAGCTTGAATGAGTCCAGAGTCTGTCATAAGCTTGGCTGATATGTTGAGCAGCGAAACGGTCCGGACTTGCTCACACGGCTGCTGTTGAAGTATTTGGGCTGCCGTCCTGACCAACACTTTACAATCCATCAGCTTTCTTACCTCCCACGATTCAAGCCACAGCTGGAGTCGTGTCCCATCTTGGCGCTAATGATCACGATTGTATCTTCGTAGTATATAATAAAACCTTTTTATTCCTTATCTACAAAATAAAAGATAAAAAAATAAAAATAAAACAGTTGGCACTATTTTGTTCTTTTTCGTTTAAGTGGAATCTGGCCATTTAAATCAAATGTGCTCATTAAGCGAGTGCACTCTTTAAAGCTCTTGTTCACAATTTTCTTTTTCTCACATTGATTTAAAGGGTTGTCAGTGTCTTTCCGAAAAGTCTCTTGTGCTCTGAATGAGGGAACAAGGAAAGTTTCACTAAAATATGCATGAGCATCATAAGTGTGCTGATTGCTTCCTAAACAATACATTTTATGTAGAGACAGTTGCCAACAAACTGTAGCTGTACTTGATGATGAATTAAGTCCTAAGCAGTTTCCAAAAGCCATTTCTTGAGTAATGAAATACATCTGTACTAACTGTCGGAATTAGGCATGGATACGGTCTCTGAAAGAGTTATTGAAAGACGCAGGGCCCGCTATAGACAGAAGAGTCATTGGTCATTGGAAGACTGCGTGATAGGTGGGACACTGATGAGACTTCATGTATTTAATGGCAAACTTGAGTTCCTTGCTCTTTTTGTCCCACTTGTGGATGGACATGAGCAGTAGCTGTTGATCCACTTTGCGGCCCATGATGAGGAAGTTGCTCCCGAGATTGTCCAGTTGCGAGCAGGGACAGTTTGCTCCATTCTTGATGTATAGCGTGAGCTTCTTCAAGTCTTTCTTCCTCAGTATTCCCATCTTCAGAACCTTCTTCTTCTTTTGTGCTGCAATGAGCTTGCGGTCGCCTTTTTCCTTTTTCACCTCTTTAATCTTCATCTTGAGTGCTGTAGATAAAATATAGATAGAAAGCAACTTAGAGCAGGGATTCCCAATCGTTTTTTGTTTTTTTCAGTAATTTACACAGATTTGCGTGTTCACGGTTCTCTGCTGTAGATTAATAGTCACATGACATGCAGGTAAACAAGTTAAATATGTTACCTTTTTAGTGTTTAAGTGGTTTGTCTTCATTGTTTTATTTTAAAAGAGTTTATTTTAATTTTACATTTTTTATGATTTAATAAATGATCAGCTTTTCATAACTTGTGAACCCCCTGCAGTTCTCTTGTGACCCCCAGTTTGGGAAACATAAAACCAAATGTTTGTCATTATTCACTTGTGTCAGATTCTTCAAAAACGTCTGCTTTGGTGTTCCACAGAAAAACTAACAGTATACAGTTTGGAACAACAGTGTACTGTGAGTAAATGATGACAGAATTTTCATTTACGAGTGAACTATCCCTTTCCACACCAAGGAAAGACCAGAGAGACCTTTTGGAAAACAGTCTGGGTTCTATTTGTCACAATTTAACTTTATCCATTGGAAAGAATGGGAAACTTTCTTATGGGACCCTCTGTCACACTCCGGTTCTCCCATATAGTTCTGCTGTCTCAAACAACAAGACCCTTCACAATGAGCACACAGGAAGAACCAAGGCTATCCAGAATGCTGGAATAGTTTACACCTCCCCAGAGGAGCATCGTTTAAACATAGACAGCACTAATTGCACTCACCCGGGAGAGGACGGAGAGTAGAACGGAACGTTTCAAAGACAGATGTCAACAGCGAACACCCCTTCAGTAGCCTGGTCACATAAACCACCAAAATGTCCTTCTTGGAACATTTTCTAAATTTTCATATTTATTATTATTGTTTGTTTTTGGTGATTAAACAAATCATTTTGGAAGTATATTCATTTTCTTTTGGAAAATTTCAACAAGTCTTGTTTATTTTGGGACCTCATTTCAGGTGATTACAATAAACTTTAGCACTATTTTATGGCTGTGGCTTTCCCCATCGCCCCATTTTAAATGTATGCAAATTATTAAATTGTTTTAAAATGTCATATGTAACTTTTCATTATTAGGGCTGAACTTATCTGCCTGGTATTTATTAAATTTTTTATTAAATTAATGAATAAACATGATTTGCAACAATTTAATATATTGAAATGATTAGAAACCAAACCTCTGCTTCAAATCCCATAAAAAAAAGTGATCCACATTCTCAGGTTCTCTTGTTTCTATGTTGCATTTGACATTAAACATGAAAGTTGGAAGTAAAACCTGTAATTGATGCTGTGGAACAGAACTCATGCTGCAAGATTGCTGAGAGCACATTCATCAATGACAGCATTTATCCTGAAGCATCTGGAGAATTTAAAAGCATTATCAGTGTAAGCTTTACTCTTTTGTCTACTATCATCAACATTCATGCTTCTCTGGAAGTGCCAGAATGTATGTTTAAATGGTGTCACTGATTTTAGTTAATCTGCATTGGGATGTTTGGTACTGGCATAAATATTATGTCAAAGATTTCTTACATATTTTACATAATTTATTGTGTCTAAATATGGTAAAAGTTCCTTCTTCAGTATAATCACGTTGCTTAGAAAGTAGTACTCTTGCTGCGTCAGGACTCTCAAACAAACAAAAACATTTTGAAGTCTCCCAAAGCCACAGTGTTTTTTTACACTTTTTGAGGAAGTTGGGATTCAAATCACATGTTTATAGCTGTCTCTCTTTGTATAGCAGATAGATTTAATGTATTTTAAAATATTTCACAATAGAAATGCACATATTAACTTTAAGTCACAGCTAAGTAGAACTACAAAATAACTGTACAGCTCACATAGCTAACTGTAGTTCTGTCAGGACCACTATCGTCAAAATGATAGATACTTAGCATAAAGTTTGGTTTGGTCCTGAGCAAGCTGAAAAGCTGCTGAATAATACTGAATAGAGCTTATATAGGAATGCCGCTGTAGCATTTGGACCAATCCAACACACTATATATTCTCTTTTTATATAACAAATACTCTGTAACCTCAGGCGATTAGGTGTTGCATTCCTATAGGTAGATGTGATCAGCTGAGAATCAGCTGATGCAAGCTTGACTCACGTGACCTGCCAGAACTAACGCTTAATTTCAGTGGCATATGGGGTTTTTCTCTCTGATTCAGGTGATCGCTCATGACCCATAATGCTTGGGACTGGGCAATATCGTGGTGACAAGCCGAAACCACAAGAGCTGCTGTAAATTGTTGGCAGTAGGTCTGACAGCAGATGAAGGAAGGCAAGAAGGAAAAGTGTCACCCAGAGCATTTGCAGCCTTCTTTCAATAATTCAGAAACCAAACCTTGCCTATATGTGCAAAGCCAGAGCCGAGCAATAGACTTGAATAGAGCTTTGGGGGTGAGGGGTTATCAATAGACTGGTCACATTTAGTGTTGAACATATTCTGAACTGGCAGGTAACATCAAAACAAGCAATGCACTTTATCGTTTTGCATTATTATACAATAATTACTACTTTTTTTCTTACTGAACCGGATGAAATTTTAGCCCAGCCTGTGAAAACTATTAAAATGGTAGACTGCCATAAACACTGAAGTCATTCTGGACAATTTTAATAGCATTTATAATGTTAGAAATTCTATGTATATATGTTTTTATACAATTAGCTGATTCATGGTAATGCTCTAATTATTGTTGGCTTTTGTTCAACTCAAAGACATGTCAGTGCAGAGCTGTGATGAATCTTTAAAGAAAAGAGTCTCTATTGCTGCACCTTACCCTAATTAGGAATTCTTTATATAACGTGATTAAAAAACATTTTCTTTAAGGCTGCCCAAAATCACCATTAGAGAGGGAAATAAAGTTAAAGCCACTGAGGTCACATAGATTATTTTTTTCTGACCTCACCCAAAAAAGTTAAATTCTATCAACATTTACATAACTTAATTCTGTTGACTTTCTTTTTCAGAAAAAAATATGATGTTTCAGAGAATGTTGGGGTTGGACCACATTGTCTTTCATTGTATGGAAAAAAAATCTAAATATCTTCTTTTGTGTTTCGGAGAAGAAAGAGGTTTGGAACAACATGAGGGTGAGTAAATAATGACAGATTTATTTATTTTTTTTGGTTGAACTGTTCCTTTTACAATGTGACAGATATGCTGTTCTGTCCTAAAAGAAGTAGATCAATTTAAAATTAGTAATTGTATGACGTAAAAAGCTCTCACTAGAAAAAAGGAGAATGACAAATCAGAGATAAAAAACTGAATCACATATATAAAACTGAGCTATCAGTAAATCTCAAAACAAACTTATAAACATAAAACTGAGCTATCAGTAAATCTCAAAACAAACTTATAAACAATGAATTTCCTTAGCTCTGTATAAAATATTAAAATCAGCTGTGTTCAGAGCCAGTGAATACACTCTAATGGAGAGTTTTCTCGGCAGTGGTCTGCACATGCACAAACCTTAAATCATTTGATAAGTGTGCTACTGTCCAGAACGTGTTGCTACACTGATTACTGCTACATTGTTAAAAGTGGCCATAACATCCGAGAAAGACTAATAGAGTGCACTATTAAACTTACAATCATAATAAACTGTACAGCACTAGTCAACAAACAACAAGTCATGTGAGCAGGTACTAGTGAGATGGCGATCAGGGAAGAAATGAATCAAGCGGTAATATCCTGCCATGCATTATGCTTTCATTATGCAAAGTATTATATCTCAAGAGCCATAAATAGTGGCATTTTTTAAACATTATAACTCATTTTGTGACGTCTGGACTTCGCTTTCTGACTTTAATGTGTAAAATCTACAACATAAAACACTCAGACTACTACTAACAATATTTTCTAGTGTCATCTGTCATAGATAAATACATGCAAATCCAAGAGCAACAGACCTCACAGCCAAAGATAAGTCAGGCGTATGTGTGGCTTTACTGTGCTGTAATCCTCTGTTCTCTATAGGGAAGGCTTTTTTAATGACTTTTAACCTTGAAACTCTTTTATTCAATGCCAGAGACTCATTCTAGAGATTCACCTTTGACAGATCAACGGAGCTCCAGTCAGAATACATCACTTTAAACGAACCATAAAGAATCCGAAACTATTACAACAGGAATCCTCCAACACCATTTAAAACTGGATGTCCATTCCATACAAAATCCCATACTTTGAAATCTATTAATGCAATGTTTTGTATATTATTCACATGGAATTTGATATCTTTCTAACTGAATTCAAATTATTTACTTTGAAAATATGTTTATTATGTTATTATCATTTAATTTAATGATAAATCGAGATGGAATGTTTAGCAAAAGTAAAATCTTGTATGGTGCAACTAGCATGAAATATTGTATTTTATTTTTGTACAATATTTCCTGTGTTTTGATGCAGTTTAGAAATATGAAAAAAAAAAAAAAAAAAAAAAAAAAATATATAAAAAAAAAAAATAAATATTT